ACAAACAACAAACAACAAACAACAAACAACAAACAACAACAACAACAACAACAACAACAACAACAACAACAACAACAACAACAACAACAACAACAACAACAACAACAACAACAACAACAACAACAACAACAACAACAACAACAACAACAACAACAACAACAACAACAACAACAACAACAACAACAACAACAACAACAACAACAACAACAACAACAACAACAACAACAACAACAACAACAACAACAACAACAACAACAACAACAACAACAACAACAACAACAACAACAACACAGTGCCTGTGGATGCCTGTGATGTATACTGTTTGGTGTGTAGTTTCAATGGATTTCGTCTGTATTTCAGTGGGCTTGGTGTGTATTTCAGTAGATTTCGTGTGTATTTCAGTGGATTTCGTGTGTATTTCAATGGATTTCGCGTGTATTTCTGTGAATTGCGTATGTATTTCAATGGATTTGGTGCGGAGTTCAGTGGATTTGGTGTGTTCTTCAATGGATTGCGTGTATTTCAATGGATTTCGTGTGTATTTCAGTGGATTTCGTGTGTATTTCAATGGATTTCGTGTGTATTTCAATGGATTTGGTGTGTATTTCAATGGATTTGGTGTGTATTTCAGTGGATTTAATGTATATTTCGGTGGATTTGGTGTGTATTTGGTGTGTATTTCAGTGGATTTGGTGTGTATTTCAGTGCATTTGGAGTGTATTTCAATGATTTTGGTGTGTATTTTCAATGGATTTGGTGTGTATTTCAGTTCCCCGCAGTGCAGAATATGCATTTGCGAGGCCAGAACAAACTATTGTATAGTAACTGGTAACTATAGTTTTGAGTGTACGGGTATCCAATGCAAACCCCTCAAAATTCCAGACAAGCCCCTCCAACACCCATCAGAACCCCTTCTGGATATCGCAGATTCCTATACCTGTGGTGGAAATGGGGTGTAATGTGGGCGGTTGTTGTAAAAGGGGGGGGTCAAAACAACAGACGGGGCTCCAGTTTTTGCCTCTACTACAGGGGGTAGAGACAAAGTCCTGATTTCGCTGGTGCCTTTGTCTCTACCCCTGTAGTAGAGGCAAAAACTGGAGCCCCGTCTGTTGTTTTGACCCCCCCCCTTTTACAACAACCACCCAGCCTACACCGCATTTCTATCATGGGGCAGGCATGGCTTGAACTTCCCAAAACTCTACAGGCACCCTATGCGGTCGCCGGAAGCATTCCCAATTGCTTCTAATTAACAACAAGTACGGGCTGCTGTTTTTGTCTGTACCAACAACAACAACTGCTACTGCTACTGCCACCCATAGGCTCACGAAGTGCAGCCTGGAAGCTGCGATCCAAGTCCTGAACCCCAAGAACCCTCAAGCCGAAACCCAAGGACCCCACACCCCTGAAAAAAGAGACCTCTGAGACCCGGATTTAGGGTTTAGGGGGTTGAGGGTTTAGGGACCTCTAAGACCTCTATGTCCGCAAACCCCAAGACCATAAGACTTAATTAACACCCCTTTTTGGACCCGAAGAGGGGAAGATCTGGCCTCGGAAGTGGCCTCTTGCTCCGCTGGCCAGGAGACGTCGGGCTCTCTGCTGCTTTGCGAGGGCCTGAAGGAATTCATCGATATTTCCCATTGCTTCGCTGTCGCTGACCCGTATGAAGTTAAGCAGTGGGGGGGGGGTGAATTGGGGGTTTGACAGCAGAGGGTTCGGGTTTTGGGTTTTAGGGTTTGGTGTGCTTTTAGGCACTGGTCGTCGCAGGGTTTAGGAGACTGGAAATGAACTCAGAAACACAGCCCAACCATTGGAGTCCGTCCCCAAAGTAAGCCCTAACAGCTCTCATCAAAGACACTTGACCTTTCAAAGTAGTGACATTGCCCAACGGGCTGTGGGAATGCAACTCAGGAATGGACGTCTCGCTGACATCCTCGTTGATGATGTCAATGCCTCCACCGTTTCGAAAGACTTGAAAATATTTGAAAGTTGATTGCGCTCAGCGGGCGTTGGGTTGTGGGCGAATGGGTCAAGTTTAGGCTGTTCTCCATGGGCTCACGAGTAGCTTTGGAAACACAGAGGGAAAGCTACCCATAAAGGAGTTTGCCTTGCCACCAATGGTTACTTGTCAGTAATCGCACGGTAGCTGTGACCCTGATAACAAAACTGTTGATGGCGGCAGTATCCAAAACTATCCACCAGCAAGACCGACGGCAGCAACCCTGCGAACTAGCAACGCCGTGGATCTGCTTAGTCTTCGTCATGTCCATCTTAGTGGCGGCAGTAGTAGTCGTCGTCCTCAGAGTCGTCATCGTCGTCGTATCAGTATCAGTAGCAGTATCAGTATCAGTAGCAGCAGTCTTAGTAGCAGGAGTAGTAGGCGTAGCAGTAGCGGCAGCAGTAGCAGTAGTACTCGAATAGTCGTGGTGGTGGTAGTAGTAATAAATGAAGCGGTAAACCTTAGAAGCTGCCCCCACCCTGTAACAGTGACTATAAGGATTATAGTAGGGCCCTATTATATTCCCATTATACCACTACTACAGGGTGGGGGCAGCTTCTAAGGTAAACTCATACGGTTGATGGACAAAACCCTGCATTACCCATGAGAAGGAATATACCATAATTCCCATAGTTTAGGGTCCTTAAGGTCATGCAGGATTTATATCATCAACCGTAGCAATAAAAGAAGCGGTAAACCCATAGTCTTACCTTTGGTTTGTAGGGAATGGAGGAATGGGGTACAATTCTAACTACTATTACTACCATTCTTCCATTCCCTACTAACCAAAGGTAAGTTATAGGATTCTTAAGGCCCCTATATTATAGTACCCTTATAAATCCCTTATAGTAACCCTTATAGACCCCTAGTGTTCGCCAGGCCTGGCTGGTCATCCTTCGCCGAGGTGCCGCTGAAGGCGCCCCGCGCCCGCCGCGCCAGTGCTGAGCGCCTCTGATGTAGGGGCCTTAATAATTGGAACAGGGTTCCCTTTTTTAAGGGATCTATAAAAGGGCTACTATGCAGGTATTGTAATATAGGGGCCTTAATAATAAGAATTACAATAGGGTTTTGTGGTATTTCATACTATAACTATAATAAGGAGCCCCCCAAAATAGTACAGGTAATTTTTAAGGCCCCTACAGTAACGGTCTCGTGATGACCTCTCAAAGTCGGGGCGTTCAGATAGAAGAGCGTTTTTGGGGTACAGTTTCGTTTTCTCAGTAATTCTGTTGATGATATAAATCCCGCATTACCCAAAATAAAGAATATACCATTATTCCCATAAGATAATGCAGGATTTATATCATCAACTGCTTTTCGGATTCCGGATTAGCTGCAAGGCTGTCTGAGCTTTAGAGACGGCGCCTCGAGCCTTCAAAGTGCTGGAGGTTTAGTTTTTTATGTTGAGCTCCTTTTTCTCAGAGGCGGCAAGTCGGGGTTTAGGGTTATAGCTGCCCAAACAGTTTTGACTAAAAGAACTCAGCACGAATCACATTCGACATTACAAAAGATCCTCCTGCATTTGTTGCGCGACGGTTCTTAAAAACTTGCACCCCGCATCCGAGACTCCTGGCATGCAACAGCATCCGCAAAACAAATGAGGACCTTATTAATTAGAACAGGGTTTTTGGGATGTATTTCACCATAGAATTATAACAATAGGAATGCATAGTGTTATTATTCAGGACCCCACGAACCAGTAGCGCGCAAGCTGCCTCTTCCCTGCAGCCAGCAGTGAAACAGTTGATGATGCTAGCGCCACCCGTACCTGGAGTGAGGAGCAATGGCATCACCATCAGCAGTCCTATCGTTGCCATCGCCGCTAATTACCACCATTGCTATCATGGTTGTCATGGTCATCATGTGGGTGATAATGAGGAAAGTCAATTATTATCTAATATTTGTGGACATAATCTTTGTTTAGATCGATTTGGATCATGTAAACCAACTGATCAATCACGACCTGTATTGATATTATTTTAATATATAAATATAGTTAGGATCAAAAAAATGGAACAAATATGATCAATTGATAGACATATACCGAACCGGTATATACGTTTTATTTTCAAATACTTTAATGCGATGCCATCGATTGTCAAAATTAGGGTCCCTTTTTGGGGCCCTATTATAATACGGCACCCATTATTTAGGGTACCCAAAAAGGGACCCTAATTTTGACAACCACCCATGTGGTGAATGTAGATACATTCCGCCCTAGATAAGATAGATCCTGCAACCGAGACCCTCACCTGGCTGCCAGCAAGACGTGCTTAGGACCACTATGGCCATGTGAGCGCATTGAAGCCAGGGAGCCGAGCATCTAAAGTTTGGCGAGTTTTGGGTTTGGGTGCATATGGGGGTTTCCAAAAACAGGGACCCTAACCAATAAGGTACCCCTAATTTTCGGAAACTCCAATATGGTTCAAGGTCTGAGGGGCCAAACTTTCAGGCGGAACCATGTCCTTTGCACGCTGCACTTCCTCAGGAGACAGGCCTTTGGCGACTCCAAAGAGTCGCTCTCCACTAGGATATACTTGTTTTCAGAAGAACCGATTCTTATTTCGGGTTCTATCTTATTGGGAGATGTCTCTCTCGAGAGATCAGACAAACGCTCGCAGATCACAGCACCTTTTTTTCACAGGGCCACTAGGGAGCAGCGAGAATGATCCATGCCTGGCATCTCCGTAAGTTGAAAGGTCTGAGTCAATCCCGTTGCGGTGAGATGCTACGAGTCATTGGTCAAACAGCAAGCGACCCTGTCATCCGGCGATGCCATGATTTTCAATCAGAAATGTCCTGGCTATCGCTGCTGTATCACTTCCAGGTCAGGAATAGCTTCTGGGAGCAAGTGGTCCTTTCCTCAGTTGTCAGAATCATCGGCAGCTGCCAAAGATCTGTAAAGCCAGAAGCTACCAAGCGGACCTATTCTCTTATCATGAAAGCACGTGATTAAGTTGACCCAGAGGAAAACGTTCAAAAGCCGGAATGTCTGAACGAAGTTTTAGGTCCAAATCCCAACATCGCAATCCTGACAGACAGGCTTGCGAACCACACACACAGCGGAGTTGCCATTTCCAGTTGGCTCCATCGCAAGATTCTCCTCGCTTGTGCTTTGCGATATCCGAACGGGCATGCTCGAATTGACACGCTTAACCTGCCAGCTAAATGAGCATGAATACATTGCCAACTTCTGGGACGTATGTCATGTCGGATCATGCCAGGACAAGCAAGCAGTGCTGCGAGTCGAAATGAGACATGCAGAGGCACTTGGCGGGGTAGGGCGTAAGCTGCCAAGTCTCCAAGCTGTGTGGCACTTTGATGCAAGCAGCGTCTACACTGAAGCCGCCGTGGTAAGAGTCGGAACCGCCAAACCTCACAAGCTCTTCTTTCTATTTCATCTGCCAATAGTCGCAACACGCCGCACCATTGGTTGCGGAAAGGAGTCAATGCTCATAGCAGTGAATCATTCAACGAACCACCAGCCAGCGAAACTGGATTAATTTATCGCCAGTCTCTTCGTCAGACAACCTGACCATTCTCAGAAACTAAGTGAACGATGCTGCAATTTTGTTCCATCATGAATCCTGAACCCGAAACCCCTTTCTAAACCATGAGCCCCTAAACCATAATACCCTAAACTCCTATAAACCCGAAAACTCTAGTCCTCCCGTTCCGAACCTTGGGATCCTAAGCCCGAAATCCCGCAGCGAAAAATCGGCCCAGGAGACTTCTCTGCCAAGGCCACCTTCTCCGATGGCTGCCTTGACTGTAGGGTTTAGGGTTTAGTGCTTAGGGTTCAGGGTTTTAGGGTCTTGGCTCTGTTTAAACGGTTTCGGGTTTTAGGGTGTAGGATTTACGGCTTGGGTTCGGGGTTTAGGGATTAAGGTTCAGATCTCAGGGTCTTGGGGATTGTCTAACGAACAAACTTCTGTCGAACAGTAACGTACAAACAACGAATCCGCATGCGAGTTCCATACTTGCATACCCGCGCATGTACGTAGGCATGTGCGCATATGTACATATGCACGTATGTATGCATGTATTGATGTGTGCATTATACATGATGGGGTGTACATGCATGCCGGTCTACACATATGAACAGACAAACAAATACACCAATACATGCATGCATCTACATATCTATATACATATATAGATGCACATGCACACACACACACACACACATATATATATATATATATATAGAGTCCGGGGGGCTGTGGGAGTGCACCTTTTTCCACAAAATCTAAGTATCGCATTGTCGAGCCATCTAATGAACCACCTGCGAGAATAGGATACAGGCAGACGCACACATACTTAAACGAGCATTCATTCAACTTTTTTTACACACATGTATACCAAGGTATGAGTACACAACTGACATTCTTTCTTTCTCGTTCGCAAGCTGTTATATCGTTGCCACGGAAGCTCAAACAGTCTTTCTTGGTTTTCTCGTTTCGTATCTCTGAAGCCATGTCGGAGTTTCGTGGTGATCATATACCAGGTTTGCTTCGTGAACTTGGAGGGCGGGATGGCGCACTTACATTCGATGAGGCTATCATGCGCATAGATATGTATGAAGAATAAAGATATACGGATAAATGTATATACATATGTCTATATATATATATAATAAATATCCATATACAAATACGGATATATATATATATATATGTGTATATACCCTCATATGTATGTGTGACATTGTGCATAATAGAGAGCTCGGCATATGTATAAGTATATATATATATGAATATATATATATATATATATATATATATATATAAATATATATAAATATACATATTATACTGTGCCTTACATGAATCGACAAATGTCGACTTTTCACTATTCATACATAGTTACATGCACATATCTGGGTGTGGAGCATGCTTCTAGATGTAGTACAAACTTCTGATCTATAAATGATATTTTATATGATTATATTCCTATTATTATCACCAACCATGCCTTTTGCATTAATACTCTTATCAATACATTTTAAGATAATAACCGAATATTCAATCCAAATATAGACAACAATAGCACTAGATATACGAAACTTTTCAATACACACCAAACCGAAATTCTATAGATTACCAGCAACAATTGCGTTGTAAAGTGGCACATGCATGTATTTATCATATTTTAATTATAGTCATATTCAGAAGAATAATCGGAATATTAAAAGCATATTGGGTTACCAGCAACAAATGCGTTGTAAAGTGGCACATACATGTATTTAGCATATTCCATTTATAGTCATATTCAGAAGAATAATCGAAATATAGTCATTTATAGTCATATTCAGAAGAATAATCGAAATATAGAAAGCATATTGATATGTGGACAAGCTAAACATATAAATCAATGAACAAATCCTCTAACACGAACGAAATATAATTTAACATACAAGCATAATATGTTCTTTAAGCTTATAAAGTTGTTGGCCAATACAATATTTAGATATGCACCCATTTAGGAAAGCCTACGTCTTCCAAATAATTGACGTCATATAGAGATTTGCATACAATAAGATAACATATAATCAAGATTATGAAAATCGACAATAACGAACCAGTATCGTAATAACGAACATGAGATTAAAGGTAAAACTTTTATTAGTATCCTATTACGATATTTAAAATTAGCAAATATTTTTCTTATACAATAACGTTATGACAAACAAATATATAATTATACAAACAAATGAAATAAGCTAGATTCACTAATTATGCCTTCAGTTTTTACTTGCGAAAGAAAACAAGGTTTCACATAGAACAATACTAGTACTTTATTTTTTGTATCAACACAGTTGACACATGCATTTCAAAAATAGGTACTCATACATATTCACGTATATATACATATACATATATATATATATAGCACACATGCATACTTACATATTTCCCACGCACAGGTATCTATACACATCCAAGTTTTCTAGTATACTAAGAAGAGCCTATGTGAGATTATAATAAGATTGAATAACTATACCAATTTACAACAATATAACCACCAGTACTATACACTTTGTTTTGTTTGAAAAATATTCACAAAAAGTATCGACGAAGCGGTATCTACCTATATATTTCAGAGACCCATTTAATAGTCCTCGTATTAACACTAAAAATGGTAGTTACTGTAAAACAAGCGGAGTTCGACAGATAATTGATCGCTATATCACGCAAACCCGAGTAGCCTACAAGAATGACGAAGGCATAATTAATGAATCTAGCTTATTTCATTTGTTTGTATAATTGTTTATTTGCTTATCATAATGTTATTGTATAAGAAAAATATTTGCTAAATTTGAATATTGTCATTGGATACTAATAGAAGTTTAATCTTTAATCTCATGTTCGTTATTACGATACTGGTTCGTTATTGTCGATGTTCATAATCTTGATTATATGTTATCTTATTGTATATAAGTCTCTATATGAAGTCAAGCAGGGATACCCAAATAGCAATCCATATAGAACTATGTAGTGTTTGCTTGTGTGTGTACGATATGAAGTCTGCACTCAAGGTGACGTCGCTGTAGTTCTGATGCGCCTCGCATACCCACAAAGCTTCTCATCATCATGAGAACAAAAAGTGCTGATGTGCAAGTGTGGTTTTTCGCACTGCTATCTAGTCGTATACGTTGGCCATGCTACGTTATGTCCCTGGGAGTGCGCATCTGCCGTGATTTACGCGCGAGTCTTTCGAAAAAACCAAAAAAACCAAAAAAAACAAAAAAAACAATTATCAGAGACTCCTGGACTGAGGTGTCCATGGCCGGAGAGTGTCAGATCTTTGGTTTCTTTGGTTTTTTTGGTTTTTATGGTTTTTTTGGTTTTTATGGTTTTTTGGTTTTTATGGTTTTTTGGTGTTTATGGTTTTTTTGGTTTTTATTGTTTTTTTGGTTTTTATGGTTTTTTTGGTTTGTCTGTTTTTTTGGTTTTATGGTTTGTTGGTTTTTTTTGAAAGACGCGCGCGTAAATCACGGCAGAGGCGCACTCCCAGGGTCCCCCGTTCTGGAGTCATATACCTTTATACAATCAGTATCTTAATGTTAATCTACACAAACAGGTTTACCCAGTCATTATGCAAGTATGTAGTATGTAGGTAAGCTGGTGAGTAGGTAATATAGGGGCCTTAATAATGAGAACAGGTCTTGGGGGGCCCAGTCTACTATAATTCTATCAACGAGCCCTAAAAAAATATTGGTAAGTATTGAGGCCCCTATAGTATTCACACGTGCATACATTTCCAAGCTCTCGCGATATGTGGGCCAGGTTGCAGGGTGCCCTCGGGCTGACAGCGGTGGAAGCAATACCTGAGCACAGAATATGTTTAGGGTTTACAGTAGGGTTTGCTTTGTTTTTAGGGGCCTCTTTTCCATCCGCCACATGGAAATCCAACGGATTTTTTGTTTTAAATGCCTCTTTTCACATCCCTTTGCGTGGGATTAGGGTTTAGGGTTAGGGTTTAGGGCAAAATGTTGCCCTCGATTTAGGGCTTCATTGAGGTGAAGACTTTAGGGGTTCAGGGTTTGCCAAGTCTGGCCTGGAGGGGGGCGGCCCACCGGAGACTCGCAAGCTCTGTGCGAGCGATGAGACAGTCTTCGGAAGCTCACTACACCGACGAGCCTAGCAGAAGAATCTCAACACGGGAGTGTCCGAAAAACAAGGGACCCTAATATAGTACCCTAAATAGTAGGATCATCATTATAAGGACCCCAAAATACGGTACCCCTATTTTCGGAAACCCCCAGATCTCTATCCCAAGACTCAAGTCTGAACTCTACGTCGTGCACCTCCCCGAAGGATCTCGAAACATTCACAAACACTTCAAGGTGCGATGACGGGTTATTGCAAATGCTATGAAGGCTATTCAAGGTTATAAGATCAGCAACATCTATGCTGTCCTTAGCTGTGCGAAGGCACCTGTCCATATCCACGATGGTCACGTGCGTGAAGACCTGGCGCTGTTGTATCAAGTGGCGCTTCTCTCAGATCCCCGAAAACCCGAACAGCTATGGGAGTGAATCCAGAAGAGGATCGCTGCTGGACTCAGACATTTGCGCCATAAAGGGGTGCTTGATCCTATCCTGAGAGCATGTGAACAAATCTGCAGCAACTGGAGAGCTCATCCGAAACTTTTCCATATCCAGGACAGAGCATCTAGCAAGTGACCTGCCAGAGAGCCTAAAAGCATGCTCTGATTAGGTTGCAAACAAAATAAGGATTTGGGGCATCTTGCGCGATAACCATATTGAGATACCCTATTACTAGAGTGCTCAGGCCCCCAAATTATGTACTCCAACTTACCTCTGACCCCAAAACCCCACATTTCACCCCGTTTTAGACCCCTTAAACCAACCCAACCCTAAACCCTAAACCCCTAAGCCCTCAACCCCTAAACCCGAAACAGCGCATGGGCCTCGTCATCCACGGCCGTGCACTCCGAGGAGCAGGTGCCTCCGAGGTTCGCCGGCGCAGCGCACTTCGAGAGGTGCTGTCCTGTTCTAGCTCCCAAAGGGTCCAAAGTAGGTTACCTTATAGGATTCTATATATGAACCCCAAAAAGGAACTACTTTGGGGCCTTTGGGTAGCTCTTAAAGGGTCCTAGGTTCTGTTCTTGGGGGATACTTCCCCAAATCTTAATAGTAATTCCTAATATAGAAACCTAGGTTACATCCTGCTTAGGACCCTTCAAGGGTCCAAAGGACCCAAGAATGTGCTCCATACGAGATCTGTAGGGCTTTTTGTGGGGTTCTGAAAGGGGTTTTAGGGATCCAACGCACCCAACAAACAGGTACTTTGGCTTAGGATATAGTAAACCACAAGAAGTTGGAAACCTGACTAAGGACAACTAGTGCTGGGATTCCCTACACATTCCTCGGAAGGATCTTTAGTACTTGGGGACCCCTGGGCTGCGACGAGGGAGGGGTCCTCCAGCTTCGTCGGGCCGACGACGTTCCACCACGCAGCAATGGCAGCTGCACCTGCGACAGGTGGTCAAAGGACGGCAGCTGCGAGGGAAGCGGTTAAGTGTAAGCCAAAGCCCCAGGACCCTAGGATTTATACCATTTTAGGGTTCAGGCTTAGGGTTTAATTTTAGGGTTCAGTCTTAGGGCCTTAGGGTTTAGAGTTATAGGGATTTTCTTTTAGGGGCTCCTTAGACTTATAGGGTTTAGGAATTAAAGGGTTGAGGGTTTAGGGTCACAGCTTTGAAGCCTTTTCGCCTGTCGGCTTGGGGATACTAGAACTAAACCCTCCTTGGAACCATAGTAAACATAACATGTTTAAAATTCTCCTGGGAATTCAGAAAGACTATAGGGAAGGCTACCGTAAGGTTACGAGAAGGTTCCTGTTAAGTTCATTAGACCCAAAACATCCCCCAAACTCCGAAACCCACAGGAAGGCCTGGGTGAGGTGATGGTGCCATCGTAGACCTCATTCCAAGCAGTCTCTTGCATTGTGTGTGTGTGTGTGTGTGTGTGTGTTTAGGGTCCGGTCGAGGGTTTGGTTCCAGGTTTTCGAGTTCAGAAGATGGCCGGTGCTTCTTGCAGAAAGGGCCCACTAAGCCCATGAGAACAGCAAGACTCAAGGACCTAAAACTCCCTTCATGAAGGAGGTCTGGTCCAGAAGCCCTAAACCCTAAACCCTGCACTACATGTTAAGGTACATCCTCTGAGTGAGGGAGCCTCATGCTCAGCCGGGGCTTCTGCTTTCCAAGCGAATCCCCAAAGCGCCCCCAAAAACCGAGAGCCACGGCTTAGGGCTTGAAAAGCCAAACTGTGCTAAACGACCTCTGAAGATCCCTCGTGCCTCATAAAGTCCCAGCAAGCCCATTAAGACTCGAAACTAAACCCAACGCCGGACAAGAAAAATTATTAGACTTGTTAAACAAGCTCCTAAAACAAAATTTTAAACCCAACCGTGGAAGAACCCAAACTCCCCACCACAGCAACCCTAAACCTCCAAACACAGCACACACACCCCCCCCACCAAACCGTAGCAACCCGGAACCTCAAGGAGGTATAAGAGGATAGCATAGGGGCGCATATTCTACTATCATCATAGGGACTTTCTGGGTATGATCATCATTGGTGTTTGTTAGTAGTTGTTGCATGTCGTAGCCTAGTTCTTCGACCTCTGTATTGTCCCAAAGGCTGGGAAAATCCCTCGCGCACGGGCAGCACGGAGGCCACTGCCGGCGGCCAAGAGCACGAGGCCTGGAGTCTTCAGGTGTTGTCAGGTTTTTGTGAAGGGTTTCGGGTTAGTAGATTGAAAGAGTTGTGAGGGTTCCGAATTCAAGAAGGCTCTTGTAGAGTTTGCCTGGTGTATGAGAATCAAAGGGGTAATGTGCTGTAAGGGCTTCAATAACGGCGGACATCCGGGCATCAGCAATCCTTCACAGTGACGAAAAGTTCTTTTGTTGTCATAGCAGTATCGAATGCACTATGTCATGTCTATACCTATGTCTCGGCTCAGTTGATGGTGGGTTAAAGATGTGTAGGAGCTGAGATTGCGTGTGTACTCAGGAATTTGGGTCTGCCGCGTTTAATATCCAGGCTTGAGGATGCTTTGAGGTTGCGGCTTTCGTGGAGCATTTGGGGTTTAGGGTTTAGGGTTTAGGGGTTTAGGATTTAGGGTTTAGGGGTTGCTGAGTCAGTGATCGTCCATTCAGCGAAGATGCCGGAGGTTTCGATCTTGCCAGCTGCGAACCCAATTCGTCGCCAGGGCCAACAAAAACACTACCGCTGCACTTCCTCGAGGCCGTAGCCCCAAATGTCTCTGCTGACATCCCTATCAAGCTTTGACTCCAACTCCATGTCCATGTACCTCATACACCTTCAGCTCGAAAGACCTCATACATCCTCATATACCCTGCGCTCAGAAGGAGCTCTAGCCAGTGCAACCCAGCGGCTGGGGATAAGCACAGAGAGCAGCGTGCGGCCCGTCATGTCGGACAACTCTAGGATCCACTGAAACCCCAATACCCCTCAATCAACCACGGGCGATTAAGATTTTGAAAACAGCAGTTCCTGACCCATGTGATTTTGATACGTCATGGGAGTCTAAACCCCAAAACCTATAAACACGTTTTAAACCCTAAGCCCGTTTCGCCCAGTCAAGGCCGCTTTCAGCGCGTTGGGCGGCCTCTCGCTGTGTCAAGGTCCGCCGCTTCGTTGGTGCTCAGACTTGAGCCAGAGGCTGCAGTGTTTAGGCCTTTGTGGCTCTAGGGTGGCATGGGGCTTGAGGCCTTTAAGTTTGGTTTCAGGGTGGGGCTTCGGAACTTTAGCCTTGGGTGAGGATTTATTTTAGGATTGTGTTTATCGGTCCAGGGATTCAGGACTTGAGGCTATAGGGTTTCACACTTTATGCGTCGCAAGCTTTGCCGTCCAACGATGTGAGGGCTATGCCATGCCAAACGAGGGCTCCCTTGAAGCATCTACTTCTGTGGTCGTTTGCTACACACATTGGGGAATTTCCAGACAATTCGGGATACATGGCAGCTTTCGGACGGGCATATGTTTGTGGGTGTATGTTCTACATGCATTACATATTTTATCATATGTATCATGATTTACTTGCTTGCTCTCTATATGTGCTTATTCAGACATAAAAACGCATATTTATTCATGCATTCTTATTGGTTCATGTTTGCGGCTAGGTATTCCTATGCAGCGTTTTGCTGTTATATCTTTGTATATACTTATTTACATATCTGTTCTCTCATCTACCTATCGTTTTTATATTATGTTTATGTCTCTTGTGTTTAATATTTAATTGTTGGTGTGTGTGTGTGTGTGTGCGCTTCGGTACATGTATGTGAATGTTCTATGTCGGTACATATGTAAATATAAATATATATATATACACACATAAGATATGTGTGTCTGTGTGTGTAAATCTTGTACCTTTTGCGTAGCTGCATCGGCAAGCGGTTCATTTCAGGCGAGCCGGAGATCGATCTCGCCGGAGAGGGCGCGCGCCCAGCAGGCAGAAAAAGCTCGCTTAGAGGCCCAGGAAACTTAGGAAGTGCCATGAGGCTAGCATAATACCGTGTAGTAGTAATAGTCTCTTATAGTATCTTGTAGTATACTTGGAGGGGCAGGGGACTTAGTAAGTAGGTTATAAGTAGAGTTTATAAGCACCCTAAATGGAGTTACCCCAAGTATAACTCTGCTTGTAACCGACTTACAAAGTCCCCGGGGCCTCTAAGCGTGGGTGAGCTTTGTGCGTGAGTATGCGAGACTGAGCTCCTTCTGGGTTTAGGGTTTCGGGCTCGGGGTCAAGATTGAATTCCTTTTGAGGGGAAAGGTTTCGGCTGTTGGATTTGAGCTTGAAATAGTTACAGGGGCTACGATCGAACGAGCATAGTGAGCTCTAGAGGCTTCGGCTCGAGGTGTTGTTTGCTCATAAGAGTGGTTGAGGGGTAAAAGAGGTGTAGTGCTGGGCAAGACAAAGCTTCCAGCAGGAATCTTCGAAAAGGTGTGTCGCGTCGCAACAATGTCTTTGACAGTTGTGATGTCGCTTATGCAAAAGCATTGAACGTCCCAGCGGCTGTGGGGCTCGCTCTCATTTACGGCTTTTGATGTCGCCTGAAGTGGAACTCGGACGAATATTCACAGCAACCCCCACATGTCTCTCGCCTGCCGAGCATAATGCTCAGCCGAGCGATGTGAACGCGTCTCCAAGAAGGGATTTTTGCACCCGTCTCAGGGCCTAACTTGGCTCCTTTAATTCAGACACGGGCCGCAATACACAATATGTTATGGTTGTATACTATATTGATATGCAGGAATCCTATGGACAAGTCTTCATAGTTCTCTCCTCGCTCAGTTGACACCCAAGGTGCGCGAGTTCGTGCTGAAGGTTATGTTTTTCAGCTGGAGCTTGTCGAAAACGTCCCGGACGTCAGAGTGTCCTCGCAAGAGGAAGGGCAGCAGTCTAGCAATGGGGTTTAGAGCTTAGGTTTGAGGGTTTAGGGTTTAGGTTTGGAGGTTTAGGGTTTAGGTTTGAGGGTTTTAGGGTTTGGGGTTTAGGTCTTAGGATTTGTAGGGTTTGGGGCTCAGGGCTCAGAGTGGAGGGTCCACGGCTTACATGGGGTCTAAAGAACCTGAGCTGACCTGTAGCTCAGGAGAAGTCAGCCTTCCCGCCTTCCCCGAAAACGAATTCCTCGAAATCCTCACTTTAGTTTTAAGAGACATTTCTCCAAGGTTGCCCAAAAGCAGCATCCCCATGCTTCTACCAAATAGGGTTGAAGGCTTGCGATTTAGGTCTTCAGGGCTTAGGGGTGTCGGGTGTAGAGCTGAGGGGCTCTAGGGGTTCAGGGTGTAGCTCGGGTTGGAAACCCTAAAATAGGGTTTAGGGTTTAGGGGTTTAGGGTTTAGGGTTATAGGGTTGAAGGTTTCATGGGAAACCCTAAAACCCTGCAAACCCTAAACCCTTTAGCTTCGAGTATATAGGGTTTAGGGAGAAGTTGGAGGGAATCCGCTGGCCTCGGATGGCAGCCAGCACTTCGCCAAACAACACCTGCGAACTCATCACGCCCTCTGCTTCTTCACATACTAGAAGGGTGCTACTGATCCGAATGGGGTTTTGGGGTATGTATAAATCACTATGCGGCATTCTATGGAATCCCGAGGACTACTATTTTATTGGCAAAGCTTCAATGCTTCTTCATATAGCGCTTGCTCCACATATGTTCTCACGAGGTGTGTCAGCACAGGATCAATGCAGCGCGATGTTGGAAGAAGTTTCGCTGCATAGAGCCGAATGCTGCTGATTTGCTAGAGCAGCGGCTAAACCATACAGATGAGAAATTTAACAATATACAATAACTGCAGTATGTGCATCAGCACTGCTATACTGGCCATTCTACTAAATCAACATCGAGAGCATCGCTGTATCAATATTCTATCGATACTGCAATGCTGTATCACTACTATATCACTATCGAAAGACAACCTTTACTATACCACTACTATATCAACATGGAAAGCGGTACTACATCAGGACCAACACCAGATCGTAATTATTTGTATAAACACCTTATCAATGCCATGTTAACGCTACATGGGAATTCCCGAAAAATTAGGGGTACCTTATTCCGGGCTTCTGGAGGTCTTGTAATAAGGATCCTACTATTTAGGGCAACTCTCTTAGGGTCCCCTATTTTCGGAAGCTCTCACATCAAGATCCACAGCCCTAAACCCTAAACCCCGAAACCCTAAACCAGCATCGAAAACACGAGGGCCTCGAGCTTCGTCTCCATTCGCCATATGTCCAATGCCTTCGCCGTCCTCAGCCGGCATGTGGGAGCTTCCGAAAATCTGGGGATACCTTAGGGTTCCCTTAAAGGGTTACTATAAGATAAGGGTTCTATAAAGGGTTTAGGGTTTAGAGTTAGAGTTTCCGAAACTTAGGGGGTTACCCTTCTTTGGGTGGTCCTTAGAAGTAGGATCCTACTATTTAGGGTACTGTATTAGGGTCGCCTATTATCGGCTCCTTGGCATTTAGAGATGTACTTTGGCCATCGGCATCGTCATGCAGGGATTACAAAGGAATAGCATTACAAACTTGTCCGACCCCTTAAACGACTCTCACAACACAAGTCGAAGTAATCCCTGCACGCTGCTGCTTTGATTACGGCTCGCCATCACACAAGCTTCTATGTCTGAGGTGGCTCGTAGTGCATGAGTTTCAACCGTAACTCCGTAAAGCCTACACCCCAAGCCCTGAGCCACGAACCCCAAACTCTAAACCCTCATATGTAGTACCTGCGCGTACAGAACCCTTAAAGGAACCCTGCACCACGAACCCTGGACTCTAAACCGCTCAAACCCCCATACTGCATGTATAGAACCTTTTCATGGAGGCCTGAACCATGAACCCCAAATCCTAAATCGCTATAGCACAATGTATAGAACCCTGAAAGCAGCTCTGAACCCCAAAACCCCAAATCCCCATCGTGCATGCATAGAACCCGTAAAGTTTACTTACGCCGTGAAGGAGTCCAAACCCTCAGAGGACCCCTTAAACGATCCCTTAAAGGAACCTTTAAAGGGAACCCTTAGAGGAAGCTTTAAGGGATCCCCTAAAGGATCCCTTAAACGATCCCTTAAAGGAACCTTTAAAGGGAACCCTTAAAGGAACCTTTAAAGGGAACCCTTAAAGGAGCCGAACCCTTGAAGGAGCCCCGAAGTCTTCAGGCAAAAAGCCCACGGAGCTTTGCAGCGCCATCGATGAACTCGGTAAGCCTGATCTATAGGGCTCCTTGAAGGGATCCTTTAGGGGATCCCTTAAAGGTTCCTTTAAGGGTTCCCTTTAAAGGTTCCTTTAAGGGATCGCTTAAGGGATCCTTCAAGGGATCCTCTAAGAGTTCCTGTAAGGGATCCATTAAAGGTTCCTTTAAGGGATCCTCTAAGGGTCCCTTTGCGGGATCCGTTGGGATCCTTGTTTAGGGTTCCTCATGCTTGGCACAGAGATGCCAAGATTCCTTTAACTAAGGAATACATCCCCGGGCCGAAAGTTTCGAGCTACACGTGTATCATTATTTCAGAGTGCCCGAGTACTTCTAGGTGTCGTTTACCCTACGCAGGGTAGCGGAGTGATTTCTACCCCGTCTTGGAAATAAAATACTCTTTAGTTCCGGAGTACACCCCAGGGGGTCACATGTGTTAGGCGTATATGGGGAAGAGGGTGGGGGTCTGCTATCGGCCCGGCGCAGTACTTGGCTGATATATGCCAAAATTACAGGATTAAGAAACGTGACTAAACTATGCTTAAATCACACGATATAATGGCCGGGTATGGTGTAAGGCACCTAAACCACAGGGGGGCAGCCCTGAAAAAGAGTCAAGGTGTACATCTATTCCGTATGAAACGGTTTTGTTTAACGCCTGCAGGCTTGGAGGCCCGGTACCATAACGCATGCAGGGCTGAAGAAAGCACGTGCGTGCCTACTTCCCTTTTGTTCAGAACTCGTGCTGCCTGCTTGATCCTACTGCTTCCGTACTTTTGGAAGCTCTATGAGAACATTGGTTTGATGCCAGCACCACAGGAAAGGTTGTCGTACACACTTACTGCATGTAGCTGCTTAGAACAGATCAATCAAGGGGTTGACTATTATGTGAGGTCCAAGAGAAATATCTATATAACTACAAAACGTTTCTCATATTCTCCACCTCCATGAGCTTGTTCCAGCTGAGCCACGTGATTTGTCCGTCCCCGTTGTCCAGGAATTCGAACAAGCTCAACAAGTCATGGTACTCCAAATCCAGCTGGCTCAGCAAAAACCTCGGCTAATCAGAAAGCTCTATAAGTCGACGAAAGAGGGCAACATCGTACCCCGGCTATTCAATGGTCAACCGGCAACGAAGATTCACAATGGACATGAGCATGTACCAACACCAAGCTATTCGCAACAGGCTCTGATCGAAGATCGCATATCCAGCAGCCGAAGCTTATCCAAGCAGCTGCAGCATCGGCGACTTCACCAGCTTCGAGAATTCCTTGCTGTACAAGGTGCTCCCCAACTCCCGACACTAATTGGCCTAATGTTTCCAGCCCTTCCTGGCCACACGTCGTCTCATGACGTTGTACTCTAGTCGGACGTGTCTGTCTTGCTGCCGACTGTGCACACTTGAACGGAGCAGCAAGAGCAACAGCTGAAGCGAGCTGGATTGGCTGTTCTATCTTGCATGAGGTGTAGTATAGGAGCCTTTATAATTAGAATGGGGTTTAGGGCTCCTTTATGGTATAACTACTATAAGGAACCCTAGGAAAACTGTTGATAATTATATCTAAGCTTATATATTCTTCGGGAGTGTCGTGTCGCTAGTCGAATGCAGTTGGCCCTCCGCTGGATGTTCCAGGGCAACTGGCTGGCAGGGCTTCGGGTTTAGGGTTTAAGGGTTTGAGGTTAGCGGCTAGGGGTGCTTCTTGCAGAACTGTCGGTAGGATGTGGGGGTTTCCGAAAATTAGGGGTGTCCTTGTAAAAAGGATCCTACATACTGTTTGGGGTACCGTATCAGGGTCCCGTATTTTCGGAAACTCCCATGTAGGGTTGAGGGTTTAAGGATACATGGGGTTGGTTGGTCAGGAAGGCCACAACATCATAAGGCATCAGCCGGTTTGTGGTCATTACAACCGCGCCATCAAAAAATCACACGCCTTACATCCACTAGCCTTCTCGTGAGCACATTCTTTACAAAAAGGTGGATCCTTCCTCATGCACCAGCTCTCGTCGCAAATGGACCTAAACCCTACAAGGGAGTTTCCGAAAATAGGGGACCCTAACATAGTACCCCAAATAGTAGGATCCTTTTAACCCTACATGGAGTTTCCGGGGACCCTAACATAGTACCCCAAATAGTACTTGGAGGATCATGGGACTTAGTAAATAAGGTTATAAGTACCTTAATTGGGGTTATAAGTATAGTTACCCTAATTATAACCCTAGTTACTAAGTCCCATGATCCTTTAAGTAGGATCCTTTTCTAAGACTTCGCAGGCCCTAGGGCGAATGTGTTGCATCGCGATGCCGGCTCTGCAACCGTGTGACCCCACTGCTATGCCAAAGCCAAGAATACAAAACGAAGAAAACTCAACCGGAAGCGAACCTGCCTTCAGTGCCAGAAGTATCCCATGACAGGATCAACACAGCGCGAGATTTGGGAAAAGAAGCCAATCACAGCCTGGCAGCATCGAAATTAATCGCTCCGTCACCACTTTGGTCCATGGTCTGAAAGAGCTTTTTGACCTGCAAGCTCACAGATGCATGCATGTACTTGCAGTCCGCTATGGTGTCTGTTTTCAGGCTTCGGGTGTCACGGAGCGATTACGTTGCAGGGCACATGACTATGAATATGATGAAATAGCTGAAGCCTCCCAGCAAGATTGTATGTGTCTTGGGATGAGCGGATAAATCCAGGCGATCACTGGCAAGCAAAAGCTTGGTGAGCTGTAGCGACGCTGCTTGCAAGCAGTAGTCATGGTCATGCGTCACATCGGCATTCTTCAAGGCCTCCAGCCCTATACCCCTATACCCCTATACCCCTACCCCTCTCCAGCCCCGAGCCCTGGAACCCACAGCTCGGAGGCGACCTTGCGAGTATAGGAGGCGAGCTCTCGCTCCTTCTGCTTGAAAGCCAGCTCCTCATCCGAACTTGCGATCTTCATCGTCCTCGGCCGGCTGATGGTTTTCGGGATGGGTTTCGGTTTCAAGATAATTTAGAGTGAGGGTGGGCTGTCTGAGACCTAGTAACCAAGGCCTTTGCGGATTCTCGAGCTTTTGCGAGACAGGCCAACTGCTGATGGGCGGTTTGAAGCAGACCTCACCACACCTCAAGGTGATCCGAATCCTAATCCTGAACCCCAACCCGACTCTTAATCCTAAACCCTAACCCGAACCTTAATCCTAAGCCCTAACCCGAATCTTAACCCTAAACCCTCAAATCTTCAGCACCGCTGTCGATCCGGCTCCCAAATCACAGTATGCCACTTTTGCCCAAAAGGCTGCTGCACGAAGACCGCATTGACCTTAGCCACAGGGTGGTGCGCAGGATTTAAGGTGAATTGTTGGAAACTCCCACAACCCTGATATAGTACCCTAAATACTGGTGTCCTTATTATAAGGACCCCAAAATCAGGTACCCCTAATTTTCGGAACCTCCCATCTTCATGTCACTCGGCTCGTTTGAGCTGTCTCCTTTGCCGTATCAGCAAGCGAGCATCGGACATGCCTTTTTCTCTGGCGCTCCTATCTTTTGTATCGCGTCTCTGCTTTGCAGAAACAAAAGCTGCTACTCTTGCGACTTGACCATGCGAAATGGGGAGCTGGACGTCCCAGGCGGGCTAGGAATAGTTGCTATGAAGTCAGCTGCTTTCAGCTGTCCAATCTTCTCGGAAACCGCATCGCGTAGCTTGATGAGGCTACCATGGAAGGTCAAGTTGAAGTCTTCACACAACATATCCTCCACGAACAACAAGGTTGCTTCGACCTTGGCGTGGAGCGCCCTTAGCCGCCGCAGAGCAGGCAGGCAGCTACCCACCCTCGAAACGGGCTTCTGTGCTGCTTCCTTTGTCATGCTGCTGCGGAGCATCTCCAGTTCCTCCAGTGTCATATTCTGTAAAGATTCCATCCAAGAGCCCGCGCTGACCTTTTTCCCTTTGAAAACACAATCGCACACGGCATCGGAGGGGGACTTTTGAAGCTTGGCCGTCATGGTCTCCAGCTCTCCCTTCCGCATCGTGAGCATGGCATTGATATCGTACTGTCGACCATCGTCAAAGAAGCGAAGCTCGATGTCAAGATCATCGCGAGAGTCCTCCAGAAAGTCTTCAGGTGATAGAGGCACCACAGGCACCGTCATTCTCGCTGGAGATGGGCTCTGACCAGCTCTTGCACTCCTTCCGTGTCGTGCTCGTTCAAAGAAGCTCATGAAGTGTGTGACAAGTGTACTTTTGTCCATCTCGACGGAAGGTGGCGGGGCACTTTTCACTCCTGGGCAACTCGAAGCAATCTGCTTCCATGCGCTCATGATCTTCTCTCTCGTAAGTGTACCAAGCAGTTCGCGCAGCCGGGCAGCGTCTGCTGAGACATCAAGGCTGTCAGTCAGGCCCTCGCTCAAGACGCTCCCACTCTCGATTGCCAACGCACGGAGGATGCCATCCGAGTTCTTCACGAAAACGAGCATCTTCTCGCAGTGCGGCGTCAGGCTACTCAAATGCCAGTACTTTGTTGACAGGTACCAACATTCAACGTCGAGTCGCAGCTGAAAGTGAAGTAGATTCGATATGAGGAACCTTCTAGGCGGAGATACACTTAAAGACCTAGCTTCCAAGTCACGAAGATTCGGGAAGGATGGGCATGGAAGTCGCAAGTCGCACTGCGAGCCAAGAGCGAGCAAACAGAGCTTCCGATTTTGGCGAGGGCTTTGGGCCTAAGGTACATGCCTCAGGCAAACAGGCTTCACCTGCCCGTGATTCGGTTTCCATCATGTTGGCTCGAGTCTGTCTCAGCTACTACCTCAAAAAATGAATCTACGTGCCCACTTGTCGACCGATCTGTCTACATTCCCGTCTACATGGAATCAAGCTGAAGTTTAAGTCGGACCACCTTCCATGCAGCAGTCTCGTTAAACGGTTAAACCCTAAACCGGACTACTCTGGTTCACGCCCTCTGCTGTCCAAAGCCTCCTGGCTGAGTTGCCGACGACATTGAGGACTGCGAAGCCCAAGAGGCACCTCGCCGCAACATCCGGAGAAACCAAGTAATTTCTAGACCCAAGAGTAACCAAGGAATAGAAAGGGTGCCCTTTTTGGTTTAAAGGGGTTATGAGGGAACCTGAACCCTGAAAAAAGGGAATAAGGGCCTACCCTGCATCCTAGATTAACAATGTGTACGATAAGATGCTGTAACATACTGTAGTATGCTATATTAATGGACTGTCACGTAATTACTGTAATGTACTCAAGCCATTGAGCTGCAGATGTCTGGTTCAAGCTTTAGAGTTTGGGGGCTGAGTGTTTTCGCCTTGTTTTTGAAGAGCATCTAGACTAAGTTCTTACCTACAAGGAACGGAAAAGGTAGCCTTTTTCTATGATCTTTCTTATGAGGGTTGGACTTCCGGGTCTAGCAATCCTTGGCATTTCCGTCAAGGCCTGCTGGCAAGTATTGCATCCGTAACAAGAGCAAGAAGACTGTGGAGGAGGAGGGTTACCTCTCTTCTTCAATAACCCGGCCCAAGAAGTACAAAGTTTCGATCATAGACTAAATATATAAAGCCAAAAAGTAAAGTAAAGCCGTTACCTATGCAGTCTATGCATGTATCGAAGGAGTAACCGGAGGGACAGGGCAGCACACTTCCCAGCATTTCCGTCCAGCGTCTTCGCATCAAGTCGCGCAGAACCACTACTTAGTAGACTTATAGCATCAGCTCGCACATGCAACGGGAAGTAATTCTCGTGGGCCAAGCAACGTTTCAAACCTGCAACCAAAACAGCTGGATCATCGTATGCGTGAGTCAGTCTAGTTCCCGGTCTTGCCTGTAGACCAGGAAGAAAGTCCTCAGTATTCTGGTGCTGGAATGAAGACTTAGTCACTAGTCAGGGCACCACTCCGAAAGACAGCATTTACATCACGCTCACTTCATGGGGATCCTTCGGAGGGTAGGGGAGAGGGGGGTAGGGGGCCTGAATACCTACAATAAGGACTTAGTAAGGCCTATTTAAGGAAGTATAGGTCCTCTACCCCCCTCCCCCCGTAAGGGTCCCTAGGATCACTGGTGCGAAAGCTCCTTCATTACAACAATCTCGAAGCCCGAGCCTGCTCAAACGCAAAGTCTTATCCGGGCGTCGAGAACCACTCACTGATGTTCTCCATCAGAAGGCGGCAGGGCACTGCCCAATTTGCGAAGAGGATTTCGAACCTCGTTTTTTGATGAAACTTGCAGCGACAATTGCCCCGAAAGAGAGGGACAAAGCCATGTGCCTCGCACGAAAGCTGCTCGGATACCCTTCCAGAAAGACAAAGTCAGTCCTATACCATGCTGATGATGATGATGGTGATGACGATGATGCACGGTGTTGGCTAACGAGGATGGTGACGATGGTGGTGATGACTATGACTATGAGGTTGATGAAGGCGGTGATGAGGACGATGGTGAGAATAACAACAATACATACCCGAATCATGCCCAAACAACACCATATATGATGCAGGGATTGGCCCCAAACCCCTCCTCCCCTCCTCACCCCATGGTATCCCCTCCCACACCCCTTTGTGGCACCGTAATTGTGAGGAGTGTAGGGTTTGGGGTTTGGGCTAAGGCTAGGATTTGTGGGCCTTAGTAACAAGAATAACTAGAATTGCTTGTGGTTTGGGGGTATGACATAGTAGAACTAGAGATAATACAGGGGCCGCACTAGATCGAATCGCGTGTGGGGTTTTGAGGCTTGACACGGTAGCACTAGGCTGAGTACGGAATCCCCCACCGACTTAACGGATGTGCGGACTGAGTAACGTAAAGGACTGTTTGACTATTTAAACAGGTTCCTTACAGAGAACTTTAAGGGCTTAGGGCTTTGGGAAGGTAAAGTCGCTATACGTATAGAATACCGAGATTATATGGTGCTTATGACCTTATTTGTTGGATCACCTGATCCTCCTCCCCGTAGACGTTAAGCCCTAAGCATGGAAGACACTGAGAGCCCGAATTACCCTCGAACTGTACCCAAACGCTCTGACATGAGGTCAGTTTTAGAAGTCATGGGGCATTGTGAGAAAGGTCCGTGTGAAGGTCCCGAAGTAGAGGAAGACCTCTTCTCCTGGTTTTTCGGGGTTCCCCTCCTTGTGCTATCTCATGAACACGCAAACTTCGAAGAGTGCAATCGGCAGGCTCCTTTGTAAGGCTCACTTGGATGATCATGGGACTTAGTAGGTAAGGTTATAAGTACCTGAACTGGGGTTATAAGTAGTTATAAGTATAGTTACCCTACTTATAACCCTAGTTACTAAGTCCCATGATCCTTTATGCAGGGTTTGGGGCCACTCCTGTACGGCATTGCTCATGAGCAATGGCTGATGGTCAAGGGCAAGACTTTCGGCTTCCGGACATTGCCCCAAACCCGGGTTTAGGGTTTAGGGCCCCTAAACAGGGTTTGGGGTTTAGGGTTGGTGCCTTGACCACCTTTGAAGGCAATAGCCTGGAACTCCCGAAGCCAGCCTTGCAAAACACTATGAAACTAACCAAAAGCCCTGACCCCCCCCCCCCCCCCCCCCCCCCCCCCCCAAGGATGAGGATGACAAACCCTAAAGCCGTACATGCACCAGAAACCTAAACCTGTTGAGCATCGATAGTGGAGATTCTGCGTCTCATCGGTGATGAAATCTCGGCAGAGTGTGCTGGCCACCATGCCAAAAACACACCTTAGCCAGCCCCAGCAACCGGGGAAACTGTGGGACACTGCCGATGTACAACATGTCCGCCGAAGGGGGTTCTGTACACGTTGCTGCACTACAAGGACTACCATAGGCGTTACTAGAAAGGGGAACTACATGAGGGCTGCTTCTTGAAGGGAAGGGGTACAATACGGGGTACCATAAAGGTTACCACAAGGGGTCCTATAAAGGGGCGCTGTAAGGATCACTGTAGGGGGTATTATCAAGGGAACCCTATCACAAAACCAAAACAACCCTTAAAGGGGCCCTACTATTTTCGATCCCTGCAGTACCCGTAAAGGGGGCCTGCTATTGTAGAACGCTCTAGTACCCTAAAAGGGCCCTACTGTTTTAGAACCCTAAAGTAACCTGAAAGAGACCCTACTATTATAGAACCCCATAGTACGCTTAAGAGGGTACGAGAAGGTGAGTTGCTGGAAGAAAGTCAGCAGGCAAAAGCTCCAAAAGAGCATTGTGGCACTTGAGGCCAAGCACCTGCAGCCAAAGCTTTGGCTTAAATGTGGTGTGCGGCAGGAGTAGGATTTTGTGAGTAGGGTTTAAGGCATAGTTATTGGCATGGTTTAGGATTTGGGAGTAGGGTTTAAAGTCTAGGGATTATGGGGATTCTATGCTGCAAGCAGCGTAGTTCTGAGCACAAATCTTTCGAGTGCAGGAGCTGTCAAGAATGGGCACCTGGGAGCCTTTTACAACGACCAAGGGCTGGTCTAGGGTTTAGGATGGTTTAGGGGTGAAGGGTTTAGGTCTTTAGGGTTTAGGGTATCGCATCTGCCCTGCATCGATTCGGCACAAGTTGCGTTACAGGCGGCAGCCTTGACAATCGCACAACAAGCTACAGTCGATGAACTCACTCATACCTGGCGGCCTGGTCAAGATCTGCAAGGAATTGAGCACCTTGGCTTTGTGATAGCCCGCTGGCTTTCTTGATCCGAATAGAGATTTTGGAAGATGAGGGACCCCCCCTCCTCAAGAAACCAATAAGGGACCTGAAGGGAAAGAAAGCTCCTGCCCACTGAGCTCAGCATGTGAGACAGGGAAATAGAACATGGCATATTGAAGTACCGGGCAAGCACTGCAGGGTCACACACATTATCATCCAAGCGACGCTGTTCATCGTCACCATCCGCACCGCCCTCGCGAGCTTGCCGAGGCGAAGGAGCCGAAAGAGAACTGGGTTGACATTCACATCCTCCTCGGATGCAGTGTTAGGGACCCAAAAAAGGGACCTAAACAAAATCTTTGGGTGCTTCTTCGGCTCCTAAAGTGTTTCTTCCGGGGTGTTTAGGGAGTGTGGCTTCCGAGGTGCTTAGGGCTTTAGCGGGACACAGCGGAGACCGTTGGGAATTCACTTGAACGTTCTCTGCGGCGAGGAGAGTAAAGGCTTGGTGGCTTCAGCATTGGAAAAGCGCTGCCCATGGTGTAATTTCTCCTGAGGGCACACTTACTGCATCCCAAAACCAGGAATCTGACTGCTTTGCAGACAGACGAAAACAGCTCAGCAGCTGCATGTCGAATTTTCAGTGTCTTCTGCACGGCACCTTGTAGGCGCCAAGCGGCAAGCAGTGTTGGGGACGAGTATACAACGACCACTTCGACGACAGAGATGACGGTCACCACCACGTCGAGATAGTTCATTTTGACCTTTCCATGTGGCATGGTACAGCAACTGCCTCCCATGACTCATGCCAAAAAGCTACCTTTGGTTAGTAGGGAATGGAAGAATGGTAGTAACAGAGTTATATTTATGCCCCATGCCTCCATTCCGTAGTTAGAAGGTCCTCCATTCCCTACTAACCAAAGGTAAGAAAAGGAGCTAAGAGCTGGCCGAGGCGCCGTCCAGAAAGCACAGCGAAGAACAATAATTCGAACAATAACATCCAGGGCAAAGATCACAGTGAAGAGCCTCGGCTCCGAGGGGGGGGCGGGCGGTCCCTCAAGAAATGCACAATGCAGGGGCCTTAATAACTAGAACATATGTATATGTACAGATATATATATATATATATATAGATAGATATAGATAGATATCATTTGTCTGGGGGGCGGGTATGTTGTAGGATAATTATAAGAAGGAGCCCCCTCAGATAGTCTTGATGATTTTTTAGCCCCCCAAAGAACTCGGGAACTGAGGTGGCACTGAACCGGATCTTGTGATGCCAGTCTCGAGGCTATTGAGATGTGAGATCGATTAGAGGGGCCGGTTTAGGGTTTAGGTGAGTTGATGTGTTGGTCCTGACAGGCAACATTGAAACAACTTGCACCAGCACTCTCGCAACTAAACCCAAAACCTAAACCGCAGCATTCGCCTCCTTTGCCGGATGCAGCCAAGAAGCAGATCTCCGACCGGGAAAAGATCCTCGAGCAGGTGGTGGTCACTCTAGAAGGGCAATTTCTATAAGTCACTACTTGTGGAAGGTCTACTATAAAAGCCACTACAAGGGGAACGATTACGTTCCTCAAGCATTCCCCAGGATATGGGACTTGCAAACATACGAACAACTTCGTTGATGACTTGGGGTCTATTTTTAAAGGTATCGGAAAAAGTTTTGAGCCTCATGCCAGCGACTTTAACGGGGAGAGCCCGAAAGTTCAGCATCCCATTCGGAAAACCAAGGGTCCGCGATATCTCGTTGAGGTGTGGGGGAGGTTGAAGGTGTGTTCAGGTGTCCTGGACCTTCATCAAAACACCGAGATCGGAGATCCAGGCGTGTCTAGTGTGGGACCTCCATTCGGCCATGTCAAAATCACAGTATTTCTATGTCTGGGAAGCACTCAGCAACATGCAGCAACGCAGAAACAGATCGCAGAACATTTAGCACACTCCGAAAAGAAACTCCGGCAAGGTCAAAACAACAGTCAAACATGACAACAACGCACACAACTAAGAATAACAATAAATACAACAAAATCTAAAGTACGCTCCCGCAGCATCCTAAAAACTTCCAAGAGCCTACACAACTTGACCAGGCTTTTGGCCAGAAGGACAGAACATGGAGAGAACTCAAAAGTAATTCCAACACATTGGAAACCATAAAGACGCCAACAACTCCAAAACATGCCAAAAGATCAAACGCATCCACACAATGGACTAATTCAACACATACCACACATCAGAACATACCAAAACATTAAACAACCAAACAACCCGCACGCAGCGTCTAAAACACGCACATACTGCCTTCAACAAGACACCATATCAACAACGTCAACAAATCCCAAACGCCAAACTAGTACAAACAAAACAGCAATCTGCCAGAATCCACCACCAAATCAACCAATACCGACGAAGGTGGGAAGGCAGAAATTCCAACACCTGATCGAAAACACATCTATTCCACCACATCCTTCAACCGTTCCCTGTGGGTACTGAAAATTCTTCCCAGAGCAGGAGTTTCAAGCAGTTGATGTAAATCCCGTTGTCATGCGCATCTCGAGTTGATTGCTTGTCAGAAGTTCATATAGGGGAAACATGTCATGCTTGTCATGTGGAAGTCAGTCCGACGGTGTCTGCTGGAAGGCTCAGGCCTTTGGGAAGGCCTGTGTCGCATCAACCAACAGCATCAGGCAGCGGCATTTGAGGGAATTGAAACGATTGAAACGGAATGGTTTCAAATGATTTCGCATGGTGTCATCTGACCGTCTAGCAGCCATCCCTCCATGATAGATACGATTGGGACGTTCCTCACAACATCGTTTGGGTACTTGATGCGATACACGCGCGTGCCGGAATCCGATGCACACAGGCTTGCTTTGGTCGCCGAGCAAATCTTCTCCTGCACTTGCTTTGAGGGGTGCTACGATACTATACGGTACATGTGGGATCCTATCAGGGTTACCAAAAGGGGAATCATTACGCCTTGTAGTCGGGTGTCTGGCCGTTGAAAGTTCTGCTTCCACGCAAAACCCTTCAGCCGGAAGTCGTGGCCCCCAAAACTGTGAACGCCTCCTAAACCCCAAATCCAAATTTCCTAGACCTAAACCCTAAACCCTAAAACCCTAAACCGTTCCCTGATTGAAAGGAAGGCATCTTCCAGACACCCAGTCCTGTCGACTGCGCCAGTCATTGGTATTCATGAAAGTCTCTGTGTAAAATCCCAAGTCCTCAGACACGGGCTTTGGGAGCAAAGTTTAGGGTTTAGGGTTTAGGGTTTAGATTTAGGGTTTAGGGTTTAGTTGTAAAGTTTGGGAGAGGCATGATGGGCTTTTGGAGTACTATAGGGGCCGTAATTATTGGAATAGGGTTTGGGGCTCCTTTGTGGTATAATTACAATAAGGAACCACCAAAATAGTATTGGTAATTATTTAGGCCTCTGTAGCAGGTTGGTGTGTGAGTTTCAGAACCAGCTGGAGAACTGGGATTAGGCCACAGCGCTGCTTCCGACGTTGTCTGCTCGCGCGGCCTGCAACCGTTGTCTACGAATCTTTGCCTGAGAATAACAAACGTTCCTGCGGAACAATTTCTTCTCGTGTCCATCCTCCGTCTAGCAGCACTACCGGCATCCCGGCTTCACTCGCTGTGTAAGCCTGCTACAGGAACTATGTCAGACACATGGAGCAGCCGCTCATCTTGACCTTTCTGGTAGCCTGGCGCCTCAAATCCACAGCCAGCGTGAAGTTCAAATTCCAAGGGTAGCAATGCCGAAGGCCTTATCTGCGCCCAAACCTAAGTACAAGCCCTGGACCCTAGGCGTCTGAAACCTACATGCCACACAGCCTGAACAAGTGACGAGTGGCGTATCCCACAAGAGTGCCCGAGAGCTGCGCCTCCACAGCCATCCATAAAACCTTGGGTGCGCTGATCGAGGGTTCAGGGGCGTTGGGCTTTGGCTTCAGGGCTCAGGGTGGGTCTAGGAAAGTTTTGTTTCAGAGCTTGGGGCTTAAGGATTTGGTTTTCGTGTCAATCAAAACAAAAACCCTGAGCCCTGATCTCTAAACCCGCTAAAAACAAAAGCCCTGAACACTGAGCTTTAGCCCCCCCAAAAAAAACCCAAACCCCTTGCAGCCCCGGGCAACTCATGCCTTGACGAGTTGACTGAAAGTCCAAGACAACCCGGAACCCTAAACTGCGACAACCTGCGGGCTACACCCCAAAGCTAAAGATCAAAATCTACCTTGACCTTCCTAAACATCTAAACCCCCAACCAGAAAAACCAACGCAGGCTCCAAACCGCCGGAACCCTAAACGCGTTGCAGGAGCCCCAGCGCCAGTAATGATACTCAGCCATGCAAGAGTGTACACACATCTCAGAAGACTATGGTTTGTTGGGTGTAGCGCACTTGGAGAAGATACCAGAATATGGATCTTGATGGCTTTACAGTACAGCGCGCTTCGAGAGCAGTACTACTCAATGGCCTAAACTGCTGTTATTATCATCGTATACAGCAAGTAAATATCACGTAGTGACATCATACTGTCGTAACTACCAATGCGCTGAGTCTTTCAAAAGCAACTCATAAGATTTGGGTTTAAAACCCTTAACCCTAAAACCTAAACCCCAAACCCTAAACTCTACATCCTGCTGTGGGACTCCAAGATCTTGGGGTTTTGTCTTTCGTGCATCTCCCGCTGCCGCGACACATTGATGGACAGCAGGAGGGCGATCACCAGCTCCTTAGCTGGGATGTTCAAGAAAAAGGGGCCTTAATAACTCGAATAGGGTTCCCTTATATCCTGAAAGGGACCCTTAAGGGGTTACTATAAGGGTACTATAATATAGGGGCCTTAATAATCAGAATAGGGTTCCTTTAAAGGGGTCTATAAGGGTTACTATATCTAAGGGATCTATAAGGGTACTATAATAATATAGGGGCCTTAATAATTAGAACAGGGTTTTGGGGGTGTATTTTGCTTTAACTATAGTAAGGAACCCGTGAAACACTGTAGGTATTTATTCGGGCCCCTATCGTAAGAAAGTTTAAGGTTCAGGGTATAGCGCGAAGAAGGCAGCTGGACTAGTTTTTCAGGGCTTCTAGGGCGTGTACCACAGGCTCTCTCAGAAAAAAGACACCAGCCAGCAAGATGCAACACGTGAAAACAAATACTGTACACAAGCTGAGGCGAAATGCGAAGCATCGACACGAACAACCTGTGACATCTCATATAGTATTGTTACATCTGTTACCTTAGAATACTGCATTTGTGTACTGTTGTATTACATATAAGAGAATATACCCTTGCCTCCCCCGACCACTACAGTCTACAGCAGGCGCAACCATCGAAGCCACAGAACGTTTGCTGCTGCTGCTACTGCAGCTGATGCTCCTCCTTCTACGACGACGACGGGTAACACCCCTGCTGCTGCAACACTACTCCTACGAGTGTGAGTAATAGTGCGAGTGCTGGCACTAGGACCACTAGGAACCACTACCACTACCACTACCACTACCAACACCACTACGACTACCACCACCACCACTACTACTACTACTACTACTACACTACTACTACTACTACTACTACTACTACTACTACTACTACTACTACTACTACTACTACTACCACTACCACTACCACTACCACTACCAAAACTACCACTACCACTACTACTACTACTACTACTACTACTACTACTACTACTACTGCTACTGCTACTGCTACTGCTACTGCTACTGCTACTGCTACTGCTACTGTACTGCTACTGCTACTGCTACTGCTACTGCTACTGCTACTGCTACTGCTACTGCTACTGCTACTGCTACTGCTACTGCTACTGCTACTGCTACTGCTACTACTACTACTACTACTACTACTACTACTACTACTACTACTGCTACTGCTACTGCTACTGCTACTGCTACTGCAACTGCTACTGCTACTGCTACTGCTACTGCTACTGCTACTACTTCTACTACTACTACTTCTACTACTACTACTACTACTACTACAACTACTACTGCTACTACTGCCCCCACTGCAAGTACGACTCGTATCGTTAGTGGCGACGACGACAAGCGCAAGTCAGACTACGACGAAGTGTCTCGAGCACTGGAAGCCAAGTGGCATAGCGGTTCGATTGGAGGAAGTCTTGGATTCGCAGGAAGAGGCTGCGCCGGGGCCGGGGTACGTCCTCCACAAACTCTCAACTCTCAGCCATAACCGTTCTTAACCTCCAAAAAGTCCAATCGAGATAGCACGCGCCGAAAGAGCGGACACCCCTGAAGTAAGCTTAAGCCGTTAGCGATGTAGATCTTAGGGTCTCAGGGCTTGTAGGGCTTCACGTTCTGGAGGTACAGCTTCTGAGGATTCGGGTTGAAGGTTGTACCAGGTTTCCATCGATCGAAAACGGCTTCCCAGCGAACTCCACACTCAGACGCCCCGGACCATAGTGCCGAGGACTTTCGCGAAACCCCTAGCCAGTCTCAGGTGTTACACGGATGCAGGGTTTAGGGGTTTAGGGCTTGTGGTTCATATTGGATCATGGCTATACTGGTATACTAGTTATACTTAATGTGCCGGTCGGTTTAGGAATATGGGCTCCTTTAATGCGTCGGCTCGGGGGCTAATTCCGACCGGTCCCACAAATTTGGGCTTGGTCTAATTAATGCGTTTTTTTTTGGCTGGGGGTATTTTATGGGGGCGAAACTGTGCTGTTTGCTGATGGTCAATCTTAAGGCAGCCACGACCTAAACCCCCACCCAAACCCCCACCCAACCCTAAAACCCTGGCCCTGAAGACCTAAAATCTCTTGCAGAATTGTTTCGCTTATTGGGGCGTCAGGAATGGGACTCTGTACTACTACTGTACTACTATTGTACTATTGTACTGCTACTGTATGCCTTGCTTATTGGGGGGGGGCTGCTAGGGTGAACCGCCGAATCGGGGATTGGACCCTAGCTCAAAAGAGGCCTCTCCAGTACTAAAGTTTGTATAAAAAATTCAATTTTGGGTCCAATCTGGACCGACCGACCCCCCTTTGGGAAGGGTTTAAGGCTTAGGGTTTAGGGTTTGTTAAGGTTTAGGAGTTTAGGGTTCGTTAGGGTTTAGGGGTTAGGGTTTAGGGTTTAGGGTTCAGGGTTCAGGGTTTAGGGTTTCAGGCGCTGGCTTTATGCTTTGCTTATTGGGGGAATGTGCTCACTGGCTTTATGCTTTGCTTATTGGTATTATTTCTGTACTATTACTGTATTACTACTGTACTCCTTTACTACTGTTGTACTACCACTGTACTACTAGTGTACTACTGTACTACTATTGTACTACCACTGTACTGTTACTGTACTACTATTGTACTACTGTACTACTATCGTATTACTACTGTACTACTATTGTACTACCACTGTACTATTGTTGTATTACTGTTGTACTACTGCACTACTAGTGTACTACTACTGTACTACTATTGTACTACGGTACTATAATCGTACTACTACTGTACTACTACTGTACTACTATTGTGCTTCTATTGTACTACTGTACTATTATTGTACTACTACTGTACTACTATTGTACTACCACTCTACTACTGTTGTGTTACTATTGTATTACTGCACTATTATTGTATTACTACTGTACTACTACTGTGCTACTATTGTATTACTGTACTATTATCGTACTACTACTGTACTACTATTGTGCTACTATTGTATTACTCTACTATTATTGTACAACTACTGTACTACTATTGTACTACTGCACTATTATTGTACTACTATTGTACTACCACTCTTTTATTTCTACTGCACTACTATTGTGCTACTGTACTATTATTGTACCGCACAAAGCTTCAGACGTGGTCGATTGTGGGTGGGAGTGTGTGAGTGTAGGTTACGGAGGCAAAAGTGTTCAAAATGAAGGGTTTTTAGTCTTCATAGTAGTCTTGGAGTGATCGGGGCTTGGTTTCCAGCATTTCGTGATCCCCAGACCCCCCCGACCCCCGACCGCGCAGAACCGCAGACCCTGCACCCAAGCCAACCCCCCAAACCCCGGCACCTCCCAATTCCCTGCCACTCAGTGTCCGGGGTTACCGGTTCCAAATTAAAGAGACCAAAACTTTTTGGTCGGGGGGGGGGAGGGGGGGGGGGGGTACCCCACTATTAATCCGACCGCCACATTACCCAGAACCTGGAATGCCACCGTGCAATAGCAGGCAAAGCAGACTTGAAAGTTGCTGCACTTCGAACACTGTCCCCTGCTCCGGCAACCGCCCGACACCTGCTCGACAAACACACACCGTAAACTCAACACCCCAAAATCCTCAAGGCCCCAAATTCCCGCAAGTTTTGATCCCGAAACTCCAAAACTAAACCCCTCAACCCTCAGAGCCCCGAACCCCCCCCCCCCCCCCCACTTCCTGCACCCTTCGCTCTCTTGGGACTCCATTCCTTCCCTGAGGCTCATCATCCGAAACTTGAGCCCCAAGTTAAGCTGTACGAATTTTAGGGTTTAGGGCTTTTTTAGGGTTTTAGGGTTTATGGGGCTTAGGGTTAATTTAGGAAAGAACGTCGGGAGCTCCTCATCTACATATACCCCGAAGCCTAGGAAGTAGGGGCCTGACCAGTTGGAGCAGGCTTTATTCTGGGGTGTTGCACTGGAACTATCTAGGAATCTAGGGGTCTATAAGAGAATCTTATAATTGATAATTCCGAACAATATATAGTCCCCCAAACCATACATGTAGAAAGCGATAAACCCCAAACTATCAGATACACCCTAAACCCCAAACCCCTGAACCCTACAACCCTACAACCCTTCAACCCCAAACCCTTAAACCCTAAGATCTCTTTAAATTGTAAAACCCTCAGATCTCTTTAAACCCTAAGACCCTAAAACCCTTAAACCCTAAAACCCTTAAACCCTAAAACCCTAAGATCTCTAAGCCCCAAGAGCTAAGGCGGAAGCTCCTCATCGACGTCGATAGAAGACCCCGAGTTCACGTCTTGCACGTTCTCAGAGCTTCGGGGATGCAGGGGTTCAGCAGGTTATTGGTTTAGAGTTTTGGAGTTTATGGGGTTTCTAAGGTTCTTTTGAAGGCCTTTTTGGAGTTTATAAGGTTTAGGGTTTAGGGTTGCTGAGGGTAGAAACCCTGTCCCTCCAGTTGCTGTGCAGGGAAGGTTTTGGCCTGAAACCTCTCAACCAAGGTCTTTGTGTCAGATAAGGCATTTGGGGTGAAAGTCCTTATCTGAAGAAAATAAGCTGGTCTGCTGTTAGAAGTGGCATGCTGGAAATCATCGTTTTCTCAGTCCATGCTCGCAGGTTGACATGTGATGTGTGACATTAAACAGTAATCCTTGAATCAGTGTATGGCATTCTCCATAGCACACATGATTGAGGGACAGTTTGGGGTCATAGGATGTGCAATATACTGCTGATAAAGATTTCACTTGGTGCTCATCTCGGTATATATCTTATTGTCCCAGCGACAGGGCGCTTTTGTTTGTGCCGGCCATGGTGCTGGGCCGTGCTTTGCGCCTGCATAAACTCTATGCAGAGCGGACCGATGGTGTGCCCCCTCCATTTGCTTGCATATGCAGATGCACCAAATCATGTGTTTGCTGTTTGATTTGAGAATGAGCGACTTGCAGAAAGCTGAGTGCATTCAGCAGGGTGGCCCAAGCTGTAGCGATCTTCAAACAAAGGGGGAGCAATCATGGAGTTCTACCCCATCGAGGGTGGAGGGCTCAGGGTGATCAAGCCGATTCGCTACATCCTCTCGGCCCCTTGCTTGTATATATATATATATGTATATGTATGCTGCACACATTGGTGAGTGGTCATGTGTCCCATGGTATATGTACATATTGTGTCGCATAGGTTCGGAGCCAGAATATTTTCGATTCCCTCAAGCCCTTCGTCGAGCAGCGTCTGGGCCAGTTCCGTGACCAGAAGGACACACACATGTGTAGGATATTATGTTGAAAGTTGCTTTTCCTGCAGGATGCTGGTGACTTGGTGTTGGTGGAGGGATCGAAGGCTGCTTGGGTGAAATAGTGCTGATCAGACAGTGTGCATTGTGCTCTAGTCCGCTCTTTATATATGGAATCTGCATGGGCAAGGTCGCGGAGACCGATCTTGTTCGGAACTTTGACCTGCTGAAACCATATGTGGTTGGTCATCTTGGTGATGATCCCGCCGCGGTGGTGGAACACAGGGTCAACAAGCTTGCATAAGGTCGATTTAGGTCATGGTGCGGGTACATGCATATCTATCAAGTCGTGACTATGCCTATTATCTGAGGCAGCCATAATGCACCTTGCGATTATCTACGGTTTCTGGTCTTCCCGGGACCTCAACAAGCGTGGAGCCAAGGGTCAGTGCCGGGCCACCAGGCGGAAATAAGTGAAGCTTGTATGTATTCTATCTTATCATGATCATGCATTGCATGGTCACTCAGGACTGGTGTGACTTGCAGGGCTCTCGCCTTCGCCTTCTCGGCGGCTACATAATTCGGTTGGCCCAGCGCACTGCCAATGCCAAGTTGCTCATATGTTTACTAATAAGTGTTTCTAGCTCTCTGGTCTTGATGATGCTGAGTCATGATCTAAGGCTGCCGGAAGTGAAGGTGTTGAAATGCCTTTTCTATGCTGCTCGTGGATTTCACAACACAGTGGACATGCAGATCCTGGCAAATGGCGGTGTTGATCCAGGGCTGGATGACGATGATGATGATCGCGAGGCTATGGAAGCTGCAGCCCTCGAGGTTGCCGAAGAGCACAAGGCAATGCAGGCAGCAGGGTTTGATTGAAGTCCAGAGGTGTAGCATGTTGTATAGTGTGCCCTTGTACTAGATTTTTGTAATACAGCAGGCGCTGGAGATCCTGGATAGCTCAGATGAAGAGGGTGGACCCGTTGAATCCACTTCGGACCCAGAGCCGGAGCCCACTCCGGAGAAAGATGCCTTTTGTCACCAATCAGTTTCCAGCTACATGATCATAGCAATGCCATAGACAACACAAATGCTGGGTTTGTGATGTGCTGCACAGCAATAATAGCTCTGCTGCTTGTGAGGAAATGACACGTAAAAAGCTCGAGCTGGATGATGCGAGCCGTGCAAGTTCGAGCAGTGTTGGGACTGGCACAGTGGGTGTGGTGAAGGATCGGATATTTTTCAGACTGAACAATTCAAGCAATGTAGATATAGTGTACTGTTGCATGATCAGGACCGCCAGCCACTGCTGCCTCCCGGGTCCTACTTGAAGATGGATGCCTCTGAGGATTTCGACGAGCTTTTGGGGCAAGAGGCACTTGTCCTTGGAGATGATATGCGAGCTGCACAGTGGCAGCTTCGTGCCAGTTCCCGCCAGGAAGAGCATGTGTTTTGTGCAACTATGAAAACCGGTAGTGTGTGAGTCAGCTGCTTTACATGTGTGCAGGAGAAAGCCGTGGCTGTTCTGAAGCGTGCTGCGAAGAAGACACATGATGCTGATATCATTGCAGTGCCTCGTATGTGTTTGGTAGTCACGAGTTAACTGTACATGTTATGTATGTCATGTGCACATTGCACATCGTGAATGAATGTGTGTGTGTGTATCCATGTGTGATGTGTGTGTGTATCCATGTGTGTATGTGTCTGTACATGTGTAAAGTAAATAAGGCAGTGGCAGCGCACGAGTCCAAGAAGGCCCTGAAGGCGGTGGTCGATCATCCAGATGAGGCGCAAGGCGCCACCGAACACCAGTGTGATGAGGATGTGGCTATGCAGGACTCTGAAGTGGCTCAGGGGGATGAGTGTGAAAAGGCTGAAGGGGATGTTGCGATGGAGTCTGAAAAGGCTCCGGGGGATGTGGCACTGGAGTGTGAAAAGGCTCAGGGGGATGTGGCACTGGAGTGTGAAAAGGCTCAGGGGGATGTGGCGCTGGAGTGTGAAAAGGCTCAGAGCGATGTGGCGCTGGAGTTTGAAAAGGCTCAGGGGGATGTGGCGCTGGAGTGTGAAAAGGCTCAGGGGGATGTGGCGCTGGAGTGTGAAAAGGCTCAGGGGGATGTGGCGCTGGAGTGTGAAAAGGCTCAGGGGGATGTGGCGCTGGAGTGTGCAAAGCCATTGCCGCAAGGTGTCCTGTCCAGGCTTGTTCAACACTACACGGTTCGCAGGCCAGCAAATCCCGATGAGATTCATAGCCAAGTCCTGCTACGAAGTGTTTCTGAGTTGGAAGAAGCGGATCTGCAGGAGAGACCGGCTCACATGGATGTGCCTGTGCCTGACACTCCCCTGAAAAGTCCTGTGGGCTCGTTGGCAGATGATGCAAGCACCCCCGGCACAGTCAAGAACTACCGGAACACATCGTCCTACAAGCTTGCTAAGTCCCCGATACCATTCCCACTCGAAGGTCCAGGGGATGTGCACATGGATGAGGGTGATGAGGCTACAGCTTCAGGATCCAATGAGCTGGTTCTTCGCAAGGAGCTGTTCCCTGACATGCCTTCTGGTTCAGATGAGCCTATGATGGCGCCTCTGGTGATGCCTTTGCCTGAGGATCTTCATGACAACCCGTATAGCCGAGAGGCTGGTTTGATTCCGAAGCGTGAGAAGGAGAGCAGTGTTAGCATCCCGACCCCGCAGAAGCCCGACACCAAAAAGGCCAGGTTGCAGGAGCAGGCGAAGATCCGATTCGAGATGGCCGAAGATATTTGGTCTACGGTTGTGTACCCATTGCGAGATTCTGTTCCCGATGCCATGCCCCGGAACCTCATTTTCAATGGCAAGTTGCGCCTCAGCTAGAAAACTTTCGAAATCTCTGTATCATGATACTGTGTACATGTGGGAGCCTATGTTATTATAAATTAATTAGATGCCATGTACATGTGTACACCCGTGATTTCAAACAGCTTAGACCTCCACTTGACCCGACAAACACCAATCACCCAGGAGCTACTCAGTTGCTGTGCCGGATGATTTGCCGAGTCTTGCGGAGTTGTGGACTCCCGACGAGCTGACCGAGTTCGAGGAACCCCCGGTTCGCAAGTCGATCATGGTAATCTTAAATGCTCGGACGTTCTATGTCAACAAGAGCTACTTCCATGAAGAGTTTGGGATCAAGGCTTCTTTGACAGCAAGCAGTGAGCAATAATCCATCCGTCTTTGTGAAACAGTGAGACAAGGGCTTGGCATCGAAGTGCAGTCTAGTAGTGTGTTTAGTGTTAGTAAGAAACTATTACTTCCTGCTCATAATATAGTCTAGAGCAAACACGAGACCTCGAAGCAACGCCAAGTGCACAGCTTCTATGCTTATATAGTAAGCACCTCTGCCAGGCCTGCAAAACTGCATGATCTAGCTAGCTTAACCAAATGTTAGAGAGATAACCCCAACTGCTAGGGATATAGGATGTACCTTCGGTGCATGTAGCCCGATACAGAATCTGGGTACGATTAATTAACCCCAGATGGAAAGAACCACTAGGCACACCAATATACCCAGCTGCTGGGATAGGATTCGTACCTGAGGCTAGGCTTGGCAAACCTTTGGGAATCTCGGAAATGGGTTGCTGGTTCTTCTCAAATCCTAGAATCCCAGGCCAGATTATTTCGTCCCAATATTGTTGAGTGGGGGCAAACTCAGATAGGCCATCCTCGGGTTTTGCGATTATGCTCAGTCAGAATCGCGACTCAAGGGTACTTAGATCGTGGCCAACGATTACATGTAGGGCACAATGCAAGCTAGTAGAGTACCACCATCTATCAAGACATATATGTACGCATATAAAATAAGTACATATCTATATATATATATACACACATATATATATATATATGGACGTTTCCGAGTTGGGTCGTAGCTGCTGACATCCAGGGCAAAGCTCAGAGCTAATAAACGATTAGGGCAGCTGTTATGAAATTAATTTGGGATGGTTCGGTTTTCGTGGCTGATTCGCTTCACATTAATCATGATATATAGGGTCCATACTAATTACAAGTACACATCTCAATCCATATTACAATTGTGCAGAATCTACTTCAATTGGTTTGATGTGAGGTTTTCGATTTCCCAAAACCAAAGAACCATCCTTAATTGTCTTTGATGTACACTGCACTTAGGTGAAGGGCTCTCTGAACTCGGATGATTTAGGTTAGGGTTTCGGGCTAAGCGGCTAGGGGTTGTCTGATCTAGGTGTAGATGACTTTAGGAAATCATCGTTCCCCTTTATGTACAAGTTTGCCTGCGCCGCAGGTCTTCGATTCAATGCTCCAATAAACTTTTTAAGGGTCTGTTAAAGGTATACGTATACTAGTCGTACATAACCATTATCAGGTTTGGGATGCATTAGTATATCCCCCTACACCCCCCTCCACAATACCTTAATATACCTGCCGCATCTCAGATCGACCGCAAAGAGGGCAGCACGATCGCCTGGAAGAAGCACGATGGCTTCATGTCAGCGTGGCCTGCTTGAACTACATTTTTTAATTTCGTATAGAAACACTACACTGCCGGGATTACGTCCATGGTACTTGTACTGCATAAGTTCAGGCTTGAAGTTGATCTGCTACCTACGCCACCTGTGGCAGACTAGGCCCCATACTGGGTGCATGAATTGCAAATAGCTTAGGTGGAAGATCGCAAAACGTGTGGCAGCCTGGTCCCTGCCTGAAGGCTGGATTAATATGTGTATGTCTGTAATGAGTGATTGTAGCCTCCCCCTGTGATGCCATCGATGTGAAACCCCTGCCGCAGTTGAGCAGCGCTTTACCGTCGCCGTCGCCAACGGCGAGATCGTGCAGCGCGATGCAGATGAAGACTAGCTCGGTGCCTTGGCTGTGGCCATGGGTGTGTCTGAGCTTCTGATAGTCAAGTGCTGTGTGCGTTTGGCCATTTGGAGGTCAGGCAGCTATGCGCTATGTGCAGCGGGGTGCCACTTGATGTTTGCATCAAGTTCTCCTAGCTACTGCGCTAGAGGGTCCCTAGCTCCGGATCCTGCAGTGTACGTCAGCAGGCCTAGGGGTCGGGGAAGCTGATCCTACGGGAATCTTATTATTAGCTTGGCTTTAACTATAGCAGGTCTTGCATTATAGCTAGGTAGTCTCTGTGTGGACTAGAATGGTGAGGTAGACTTTTAGTTTTGGATGCTCCCTGGCTTGCCTGTCAAGATTTTAAAGCTAGTGGGTGAATGGCCTTCGCCGAGGCGTGATAGGTCTTAGACCACCCAACAATCTCTTGAGATCAGTTTTGGGGGAATACCTTAGCTTGGATGTCTAGCGCTCTTTGGAAAAAGCTTCGCCTGCGAAAGGTGGGAGAGGTCTGCGTGTGCTACATGGAGCGAGCATTTTGCAACTTGAGTTGGCATGGGTGCCATGGTTGTCATATTCCTTCTTGGGTAAGGATCAAAAGGTACTGCAGCATATAGCCTGTTCACCACCTACAGCATCATAAAAATATTGCAAAGCATAACTCTCCTGAACCGAAGATGCAGGGCTTAAGCTTTAGGTATGTGTTTGTTGAAATTAATCTAATATTGAGGATAGCATACTAATATATTCAGATGGTTATAATAACAACATTATAATGTTGTTATTATAACCATCTGAATATATTAGTATGTTATCCTCAATACTAATTTATTACTAGTAATTACTAGGTCTAGACCCTTCGCCCAAATCCCACAATCATCCGAAATAGTGCCCGGCCCCTGCCAAGACAGAGACACACAACTTTAAGATACATTCTATTGCTGCCACAATGGTATTATCGCTTTCCCGACGAAGCATGCACTGCCTCCTGCTGCTACGCATCCCTGCAATACTGCGTGGGACTCAGCCGTAATCTCTGCCAAGACCCGCCAGCCACCACTGCCAAGACCCACCAGCCACCAGCAGGTTTCATCTTGTGGATTACATCGAGCAGTCCACGATAGTCCCAGACCTGCAGGAGAGGGTTGGAAGCTTATGTGGGCCATGGGTGCTGTGGTTGATGGAGTTTGCTTGGTCTAGGCCGTAGGCCTATATCCGACACCATTCTATGCTAAGGACCTCGTATGTGTGGAGCTCTTCTCGGGTGTCGGAGCGGTAGCTCGCGCATTTAGTGTCTTGCCTGTTGGATTCCGAGAAGTTTCAAATGTTGTGTGATGCGATTGTCGTGGATACTTAGGAAGGTTTGGATGCCAAGCGCCACTTGTTTGTATTATCATCCAAGCTTTCTGAGTCTTGCTCGGGTTTGGTATGCAGGCAATAACCAAGTTCCGAAGCTCAGGGATGAGTATGATTGTCTCCGACATGACCCAGAGGAGAACATGCTGACAACAATGGGCTTTGTGAAAGCTCTCCAAAAAGTACTACGCTTGGGGAAGAATGGTCTTCTGTTCGTGGGCTTACCTTGTGCTAGCTACATATTCATGAGCTCCAGCCAACACCGACGGAGCCCAGAGCAGCCAGGTGGCAACGACAATCTAGGATGGGTGGCTCGGGCCAATACAATGTGCTGTCGGGCCATGCTTCTGGTTGCTGTGGCTATTGCACGACAATGCTGTTGGATTTTAGAGCAACCGAGCTCCAGTATGGCTATTTATGATCCTTATGTCAAATTCATCCTTTCAATCAACGACAGTGACCTCAACATTTTCCATCAGCAAACGTTCTGGCTCTGGCCTCAGCTAAGCCTATCTTGGCGATCGTCAGCATTCTCTGATCAATGCTATCAACCCCCCAGAGTAGTATGAGTAGTTATACAGATGCAGCCCAGGTGGATGGGTATCTTTGGTGGTCTATCTACGAAGCGCTCTCTGGCAGTTGGTTCAGTGTGGGGGCCGAAGTTACAGTCTGAAATACTTGTACATGTATTTCTAATTTATAATGTAATAGGATCAACAAGTCTACATTGTGCAGAGGCCTTGGCTCCACAAACTCGGTGTGCGTGCTGGCTACATGAACAAGGCAGTACGAAAAAGTATTACGAAGCAGGCTGGTTCTCATGTTCTCAGTTGTACATGCGTGGGACTGCTATGTGCGGGCTTTTATGACTTAAAACCATGGCCAGGCTCTGCGCCTCCAAGCGCAGCTCGTGAAGAGGGGTCCTGGTGGCAAAGTGACTGGGGTCCAGAATAACCTTCGGGCTTCAGCTGCATACCCTCGTGGTTTCGCAGACTACATCGCGAGCTGCCATCGAGCTATGACGTTGGGTGAAGCTCCGACCGGTGGGGAATTGAAGAAGGATCACATTGTGCATACAGAAGCTCAGAGGGAACAGAATTGCTTGTAGTTCAACTACCTTATCGCACTAAATATTACAGTGCGTTCATAATTGGTCCTTTGTCTTCTAGATATGTAATACTTATGCTATGTGGGTTAAAGCGATCATCCTGGTGTGGGCTTGGCATGTGGGAATAATTAGCTGATTCCATTAATAAGGGTCGGCTTTACGGTTTGAAATGGGGATGTGCCTCTAGCTAGGACACTCGGTATGATTGGTAGTATATCATTCCAGAGCGATGTTATCTTGGCTGTGAGGGCTTTTAAATTTGGGTGGATTCCATAAACAGTTCGAATTGCAAGATTGGTGGCTCAATCAGACCCCATACGAAATTTGAGGTCCAAACCAATGCCGTGTAACAACTTCCGAAACCTCCTCGCAATTCTATGTCCCTCGCACCCAGCTGTGACCTATCTACATACCGACCCCATACCTCGGCAATCCCAGGAGCTCCCACATGGTTCTCGGAATTGGAATGCTGCCAACTTGCAACCTATCCTGGACAGCCCTGGTGCAGTGTCTGTTCGTTGTGCAAGAACAGGGGTTTAAAACTAGTCTGATTTTGGCGAGGACTTCCTGAATGGAGAAGTATCTCGCGGTGCTTTCAAGCCGAATCCGCTGATTCCAATGCAATTAGAGCCTATGAGCTTGTCCTAGATGGGGGCAACCTGAACTGATGAAGTAATCCTCTGCATATATTACAGAATGTATACTACTGGATATTGCTGGGCAGCTGTGCTTCTGCAGTGTTACACATAATGATTGCCTCTCCAAGAGTCCGCGTCGATCTGAAACCAGCAGCAGCATCGAAGTGCAAGGCCAGTGCAAGGGATCCTTATGAGCTTCGTCCGTGAAATGTGGATGTTGTTTGGGCTTTGGGTGAGGTAGCT